TGGTTTCTTCACACGGCGGCAAGGGCAGGAATTTCAGAGACGTGGTGGACACCACTCCGCCACGCTCAGGCAGCACAGGGCTTCAGGGCAGTTCCGCTCTCAAACTCCTCGCACATGCTTGGCAGGAGCAGTGCTACCAGGGGATCACGCTGCCCCACCACCGCGACCTTCCGGCAGCCACCCAGCTCCGCGGCACCTGCACGGGCATTTCTGTGCCTGGCTCTGCAACATCTGGCCAGCTGTGCTCGCACCCAGCTGCGGCCCCACCAGCTGCTGAACGCAGCGCTGCTTTTTGGGCAGCCACAGTTTGAGCGGCAAGAGCCCAGAGGAGCTATTTCTAGGAGTGGGGCAGTGCAGACCTTGGTGCTTTGCGTCTTCACTCCCTGCACTGCTTTCCAGCCGCAAGGCAGGCCCGGAAGGGAAGGAACGCCAAGTTTAGCTCTCTGTTCCTCCTCTACATTTTTTATTTTTGTCTGGAAGACGCAGCCTAGCGCAGCTCCCCGCTTGGTCGCCAGGCCCTTCTTCGGGGGATGACTCCTGGTGTGCAGCGAAGTGCTGACAGGGAACCAAACCTTTTTGGACGCACCTTCCGAGCGCACAGAGGGGCACGGGACGGCCGCTGCTTCGGGACAGGGGATGCAAGGAGAGCGCTGAGGGTCTGAGGCCCGACAGCGCCAGGGATCGTTTTGGCTAATCCCCAAGGGAAGAGCGACCACACCAGAGCAACACCTTCCCGAACGAGCACGTCTGGGTTCTGATGCGGGCGATGTTTGCCCCCTCCGAGAGCCCCCGAGCGCAGGGTACTGGCTGCAGCATCCCAGCCCCGGCTGGGCTAACAGCAGAGGGTGGGTGTGCGGGACGTGGGGACATGGGCTCCAGCCCCAAGCTCTTTGCAGGGGATGATGTCACCGAGACGTGCTGGTTCCCAAGAGCTCCTTGGAGGGGGATGACGTCACCGAGACGTGCCTGTTTCCCATCTCCAGCTGCTGGTAGGAGGCCCCATTACCAACCGTCTGAGCATTTCAGGCTGCTGGAAAATGCATGAGGAGGGCCAACACTGTGAATCTGGACAGATCAGCATGCAAGCAGGCTTTTAAAATCACAGACTGAAAAACTGATGATTGTGTAAATACCTGTGTTAAACTCATCAAATAAGAGTCTGTCAGGGGCAGCCAAAGGTTTGTGCACAGCAACAGACACGTTGCCATAAAATGCCTCGGGAACTACAAGTTGTATCACAAAACAGACCCTCCTGAAGGCACCGGCGGGACTGGGGACTGGCTTCTGCAGGGCTGAAAGCGCAAACCTCCACCGCTTGTGCAAAGGGGCAAAACTGACCATCTGCGGAGCCCGGTGTGGCTGTCACACCGCTGCAGCGTCACACCACCAGGCCAAACGAGACAGAGGCCGCCATTTCTCCTAGAAGACATTTTGTCACACACCGTCACAGCCTGGGGAACACAACACTTGTAGGTGTCAAGCAAAGCACACACGGCTTTCTCGCCAGCAGCAGGGTCTGCTGGTAGGACTGTTCTGTAGCTACAAAATTGTATCTCAGGCTTCCTTAAATAAGTAGAAACTTACTAAATCACAGATTTTAATTCGCTTCAGCTGCAGTTCACCACTGCATATAACTCTAAGACAGAGGGTTTATGGAAATCACTGCTAACATGAGGAGAATGAATTTGCAACTGCCCTGAGAACACTGACTTAAAACCAAAATAGCCAGACTCATCGAAGAGGGTCAACCACCCTTGAGCTGAAGTATTGGCTATGTGCCACGACGTGTTGCTGGAGGCAAAAGATCTGTCCATCAAGGAGACATGGCGCACTCCAAGAGGTTCTTGCCCAATTGCTGCTGAAATCTCCCGAATCACTTCACTCTCCATCATCTCTTCACACCCACCTGGGTTGGCAAAAGAGGGAGCCTGTGACAGCCAGATGCCAAATAATGAGGGCAACATCTGCTTACAGGGAATTGCACTTCCTTTCTCCAGCAGCACAGGAGAAAAACCCAGGTGATCTCAATGCAGATCTCAGCAGATGTCTCCTCCCAAATTTCAACCCACTTGCAGTCCTCCGAAGTCCGCTCCCACCATTCATCACTACTCTCTGCTGTGACAGGGCGCGGGATGGGTGAAAAGAGCCAGCATGCTGCAGCAGACCAGTCTGACCAAATTATCTCTGCTGTGTGCGAACTGCAGCCTGTTAGTTTGGTAGGGGATTGTTCTTCCCCAGTACTCATATGAAATCAGCCATGAAAAAGGTGCACAGAAGACCCATGCTGTCATGACTGTCCATGCAGGAGGCTGGAAATAAATAACCACCAGACCAGCGATGCTCGGGAAGCACCTCTGCTCAGATGTGGCATCACCCAGCTGTGAAGGCAAAGTGCAGGATTGCCGCAGGTCTGCCCCTAAAAAAAATGTTATTCGACAGAGCTGGCCCCGGCCATCCACAGGGAAAACAAAGGGCAATTCAGAGGGCAGACACAGCAGCAGGCCCACTGCCTGCGACGGCACAAAGGTCATCAAAGCCAACGTGATCTTTCCCTCCCAGGTGCTCCCACCACAAACAGATTCTGCATACCAGTTTGTCACCAGCCTTCTTCAAAGGAATCCCAGTACTCAGTAACTTACAGAGATTTTCTACAATTTCTACATTTTCTACAGAGCTACCTGGCCCGCAGGATGTAACCAAGAAGTGCAATTCCTGCCATCTGTGTGTTCTGTCCTCAGACAGGAAGGTAGTATTAGCAAGTAAGTTACTGAAAAAATAGTTTCTCAAATAAAACTCAGGAGAGGGAGAGACGCTATAAGGGCAACAGGGCTGACTGCGTAACTATGAAGTTTAAAAATAAGTGTACATATCCGTATATTCAAATATGCATATACAGCTACATACACACACTTTGACTGTATTTCTGTGTGTGAAGTGCTCAGTCACAGAGAACAGAGTTTTGAAAAACTGTGGGACCTCACCCATCTGTGCTACTGCTCTCAGGGAGTTTTAGACTCAGCTGGAACGCATCCAGCGGTGAACGGGAAACCTGTATTACCTCTAGCAGGACGCCCACGGGAGAAATGCCTCCGAGCTTACCGATCAGAGAGAAGGCACCATCTGCAAAACTGGCTGTGCGGGGTTTGGAGTGGGTTCTATTCTGCCTGACAGATCAAAAAAGTTAATAATCAAGTTGCAATTTCAGGGAGGAAAACCCGGTACGTCTGCCAGCTATCTAGACATGAGATATAGAACATATTTGCACTACGTTAAAATAGCGTAATGAGATTTCCCTCAATACAAAAAGCAAATGAAGGCACGAAAAGAACAAACATGAAAAAACTGGAAATAGTTTATTTGCTGCATAAGGAAACTTCTTGTAAATTACATATAAAGAAACTTGCTATGCTGTAGTATATAATTTTCAATATTCCACAAAGATAGTTGTAATAAATATACAAACCAAAACAAAGTAGAAGACTAAATCCATCAGGCAACCTATAAAATGGTTCATCAAGTTTTATACTTTGCAGCATTAGCATGCTTAAAATCTTGTTGTTAATTTTGAAGTGCTGCAGCAAAATTCTTTTCACATTTCTTTGGAGCATTTTCAAAACCATCTAACTATAAAATACTGTTAAAGATTAGCAGGCATTAGTTAAACCACCCAACAAAAGTAACATCAAGGTCCAACTGATGCAAAGGTGTGATTTTTCTTCTTGCTTTTAAAATCCGTTTTAGTTTCGCCAGGGTTAGGAATTATCTGGTATAAGTGCACTATGAGTCCAGTCAGCCTGAGGCACTGCTGACACTTGTCGTATTACGACTCCATAAACTTCATAGATTATATAGCTCTGAAAGATTTCTCTATTCCACTAACAGGAATAAAACAAATACCATAGTGAAGCTGCAAGCTAGTTAGAATGGTTGTACCCTCAAGTGCAGTGTGTGCTTAGAAACATTTTTCCATAGTTTCATACTGTATCACACCAAGCATTTTTATCTGACTTTAGATTTAAAAGTGCTGATAAAAGCTTTGTTGATCCCCATAGCCTCTAGAAACAACACGTAAAAATTTCTGACACCTTTTGCTGTTCTCTACATATCATTGCTACTTTTTTGAAACAGTAGGCTAAATTGCATTTTACACTTCACTGCTCCGGACGACACCGACAGACAGCTCTATTATTCCGTACAGAACTTTTACAAACTGGAAACACTTCACTATGCTTCACTATTACTGAATACTTGGGGGTATAAAAAGAAACTCTCTAAAACACGGTTACCTAAAAATATTTGTTAATAAGCTTAATGCAAACATTATGTAGAAAAAATGGTGTAGTTACAAAAAAAATTCATTAGAGGGCCAATAAAAATATACTGAAGAGAAGATCTTTACAAAAGTGAGGTTAGGAAGTATGAGGCATTGACATTCACTGTAAACATCCTGTGTTCACTAGAATCCCCAGTCTAAGGTTTATGTTCTGGTTTTGTTCCTGAGCTTCATGGCCAACACTTGCATAGATAGCTAAACCTATCATAAAGGGTTGTTTATACAGGAGTTTCTGTACTGCTTTGTACAGAACTTCAATGATTCCACCTCTTGAAACAGTTTCATTCCACAACCAGGCAGTTCAAGGAAACTACGAAGCATGGTATGATTTTTGTGTACTCAGTGCATTGGATGGGTTGGGACAGCTACCTTACGGTGTGTTAATCTTGACTACGACTACACTCAGCAGTGTATCTCTTTGACGTTCTGCCTTAGCATAAATACCTACTTCTGCTCACTGCTGCAAGGCTCGCTTCTGCTCTGCCACAGAATGCATATGGCAAAATGTCAGGAATCAGAGTGCTACAACATCAAGCAACTGAGTTACTCCCCGGCAAGAAGATGCAGCTTATGAACAGTGCAGAAGACCTCCCGGAGAATTTCACCGTTACCCAGGCAACTCGAGTGCTTTCCTCTAGATCAACCTCCCTCTACTGGAGGAAGCTAGAAAGTACTTTCAGGGTAAACATGACACGGAGTGGCCTAAGTAAAAACTCTGAAGAACATACTTGCATTTTGGATATGAAAAGCAGGCATGTGTTTAGTTAATGCACACGCAAATGCACATGGGAAGTGGAAGAGACAGACAAACAAATCCACCTCACAAACAGCACAATAACACAAAAGCAGCAAACTGCCAATTTTAAATCTTATGTTAAGGCAAATCTAGATAAACACCCATAGCAGGATTAATAAAAATGGGGAGTTTTCCTTGGCTTTTCTGTTTACTTTTTCTGTGATTGGCTTTTACACATCGATAAAATTTGTTTAAGCACTTTCTGGACATCTTCATCCATTTGACCCTAGACAAGGGAAGAAAGAAGAAAAGATGACTTATTCAAGCATCCCTTTATTCTTCAAGAAGATTTACAAACTATTTTTGAGGTATAGTAATTAGACCAATTTCCCAATAGGAAGCAGTGTTAAATTACTTCTTAAACAGTCACACCTTTTGGGTAGGACGTCTTAGATAAAACATGCAAAGTTCTTACTACATCTGCAGAAGAAACATCTTTCATTAGAATACCAGCACTGTGCAACTGACAATATGCAACCATACCTGCACAGCATAGAGAAGATGCATCCTGTAAACTGAGACAATTTCCTGATGTTGTTTCTTTGTTTCCTAGAAAACAGCCAAGCAGAAAGTCACAGAGCATTCAGAAAATGTTGAATTCAGAACTCCCCAACTAGATTTAGAGAGCTCTGGGGAATCACAAACCATAGTCTTACACATGCATGCAAAACCAGCTCAGACAGTACTGTGCCACTAGCCCTCCAAAACATAATTTGCTCGGAAGCTTGGTCCACAGAAATGCTGTAATTCTACCCATCCCAGTAAAAGAGCCGGTGAGGTGATTACATCAGTCGCAAGAGCTGCTGCAAACAGTGGAATGAGCAGGTACTCTTCTTCTGAGCTTATCAGCAACCAGAATTGAGGAAAGTGAACAATATTCTGACAAATCAGCCCTCAACTGCAACAGAGCTCCTCCCTGAACTCAGTGACCCATCTGTCAGCTAATGCCTTCCTAGGGTGCTTACAAAGGTCTTAATCCATGAAATCCTCAGTTAATTCAAACAAGGAAAGCCAGCCTCCTTCATGATCACAGACTGCCAAGTTCCAGAAGCCATCTTTCCAAATAATCATGAAGCTGTTACGTAGGTGAGCCTACAAGAAGGAAAGAATCCATCTATCCTGTTTTAAACCCTACCCCACTTTCCTAACACACTGCATATCTTTGCACCTTACACTACTTTGCTGGTCCTTAAGCAGTGGGAGACAAAGGGTCCTTTCGGACTTGGTGGACTGGGACAAGAAACAGTCTTGGCTCTTACATCAACAGGATGCAGTGTTTAACTGCCTGCCTACTCCTTCCTTGCCACTGCAAAGGTATTCTTCTGGCCCCTATGCATATTGACTCTTCTTTCTGTCTGCTGGGGAAGGTCGGAAGCAGACACCAGGTAAGCCATTTAGCATGTCAGGTTGGGAATTTTGCTTTCAGAGCTGCTCCAGATCTCTCAACAAAGGCCTGTGGTGGGCGGTAACTCTTCATCCTCAGCAGTGAATTAAACTGCTCCTTCGGACAGACAAGCTCTTGGAAATAACAACTATGACTCAACCCAGCTTAGAAGACTGGACCTTTCATGCACAAACAAATATAATTAAAAAAAAAAAATCTTTAAGCAGTTCAGAATTTCAAAGAATAAACTGTGCTCTTTACAAACAGATGGATTTGCTTGATTTGAAACTTCGTGCTTTTAGTGACTGCTTCCTTCCAGAAAGTCAAACTTGCTTTAGCTTAAAAAACCAAACAGACTTCAGCTGATGAATGTTCTTGAGAAAACACACAAATCCACTGCATACTGGTCATATTTTTCACATATCAGGGCCTCAGCAGCAGGTTGCATCACCACATTCTACTACAAGCACAGGAACTTTGCTCCACTATTGATCTGAGGAAATATACTGGGAAAAACAGCTTTCTTTAGACTGTTTCTAAACACCAGTTTGTGACTTGCAGATTCCTAAATGTTTCAGAGAAACAGAGAAATTACAGAATCTGGATGAAAATTCCTTTCCTTCTACTCATTGACTGTGCTCCATTTTAAATAAGGCAGAGCGAAGAATGGCATGCATATCTTCAGAGAACCGGGAATAACAGTGGGTTTACAAACCATGACACTTACAGCCAGTTGGTTTTGCAACTGCTTCACTTGTTGCTGTAACGCCTCCAGCTGCTGGCTTTGTCTTTTGGGGGCGCTGGTCGAGTAGGAAAGCTGAGAAAGGCTGTTCAAAGCTTCTTTTAATTTGCTAACTTCCTTCGACATTTCATTGATCTAGGGAGGTACAAAATTGGTTTTCATTAAAAGTTGCAAGGCATACTGTATTCCTGTGGGTCTCATGCTGGGGTTATTTGTGACTTAAGTGGGGAAAAACAAGATGTAAATAAACTCAATGGACAGAGACATCAAATAAGCAAAGGGCTGCAATGGTTCTCTATCCCTCTTCCTAGCCCAGTCAATTTAAAACGCATTCCTAGCTCTGAAAGCCAGCTATATTTAGAAACATGGATTGCAATTACCACCTTTACAAATACTGCTGCTGAACACAAGATAGAAACATACCAAACACAGGCCAGCTATTCATATCTAGCAGAACACATAGCTTTTTATAAATAGATTTCTAGTGACACACACGGTAGCTGCAGAAGAAAAACAGTCAAGTCATGCTAAGGTTGATATGGTACAGTAAAATCAGAATAATGAACTTTTGCTCATTTCTGATCTTTTGTTTTCTTGTCTCCTTTGGAATCTCTTCATGCTGTAAGTCCCACTTCTTTGACTTCAGTTGCCCGAACAGTGTGAACCCAACATAAGCAGAACTGAAAAGAGGTAATCTGAAAGGTCACACAGATCTCCACAGGGGAGGGAAACCTACTGTAAAGTTAAACATACCAAAAACTTCTTCGACATCTGAATTTTCAGAGGGGCAAATGCGCTCAAAAGTTACCCCACTCTGTGACACTTGACACTACATCGTCTGTTAGGTCGCCCATGCACCACCCAACATGTTTTGCAGTCTGAACTTGTGTACTATCCCTCCACTGCCGCGAATCACTAACCTTTTTATCTTTATCCTCTTCTAGTTTGGATGAGCTTTCAGAATATTTTTTCATTTCAAGAAGATCTTCTTGAGCTTGATGGTACTTTTGGTGAAGACCAGCCACCTCCCGTTCCTTTGCTTCAAGCAGAGTATGCATACCTTCTTTCTGTTCTTTCAAGTGCAAAACTTCCTTTCTCAGTTGCATAGCATCTAAGGACACATTTTCCTTCTCTTGGATTACATCCTTCAGTTTGGATGACAAAACACTAACTTCACCCTCTAGCGATGACTGGAGCTTTTCATATGTAGCCTTGGGTACCATTGCTTCATTAATTGCAGCTTTTTCTTCCAGTAGTTCCTTCTGTAAGTTTCTTACTTCGCTTTCCTTGCAGGTGAGCAGCCCTTTGAGGTCATTTATTTCTTCCTCCATGTCTTTTACAGTATTTCTGAGTGCATTCATCACTTGATGGTGTTCAGTAATTGGCAAAGAGTTTTGTTTCTGAGCGTCTAACAGTTGCTTTAGTTCTTCTGCTTCATCTAATACTTTTGTGTACTGTGATTTCATTTCTGATAACTCATTCTCTGCTTTGTATTTCAAAGAATTTGTTACCTGCATCAGTTTCTCATGTTCATCTCTAGGAATGTAGTCCAAAGCTATATCATCTAGAGTTTTTCTCTTCCTGTAGTCTTCAAGCTCTGTTTGTGCTTCTTTGTACAACAGAGACAATTCGCCGAGTTGTCTGTTGAGCTCATCTACCATTCTGTGCATCGCATCTTTTGTTTCTCCAGCTTCAGCACTACACTCCAACTGTGTCTGATTTTTCAGCTTTTCCTGTAGCCTTTTAATTTCCTCTTGCCCTTCTTTGTACCTCTCAATCAACAATGCTTTCTCTTGATTAATGTTTTCAATAACGGAACAATATGAATTCTTCATTTCCTCACACTCTTCAACAGACAATTTGCTCGCCACATTCTGCTCTCTTTCTTCAAACTTCTTCTGTAGCTCTCTCACTTTCTCTTTTTGTCTTTCACCTTCCTCCAATGCTCTCTTCAATTCTTGCTTAAGCGTTTCAACTTCTCCACATGTAACCTTCAGCCTGCTTAGATCGGAACCGGTTTCTTCACTTTCAGAGGAAACAAGACCCAGCTTCATTTGCCTTTGTACATTCAAAACCTCTTTCACAGCTTCTTCACACCTGTTTTCAGTTTCTTGGAACTTCAGGTTAAGATCAGAACCATTTTCTGAAATGTCTGTGCTATTTAAATGATCTGTTTCTGGGACTCTAGACTGGACCTGAGATTCTGCATGCTTTCTTCTGGCTTCAGAATTCTCTGATTTCCTCTGCATATCCTTTAAGTCTTCTTGGAGGTACTTAATTTTTACTTCACTGGGGCTTGTCATCTTTTCTTGAATTTGGGTGGCATTTAATGGAGACTTCAGCTCCTGAGCCAAGAACTCATTTTGTCTATCTGTTGTTTGCTCAAACTCTGTTTGGGTTGAATGGTAAGATTCTATGGTTGAATCGACTTCTTTAGGTGTTCTCTCCTGTGCAACAAGAAACCCGAACAATTGCACAATAAAACAAAGTATATGATTATATTTTTTAGAATAGAGTAAGCAAGGAAATCTTGCCACACCCTACAGAGACAAACCATTAAAGCACCATGGAAGAAAGGTTTAAAAAAATTCAAAACCCAGCTGCTCCCATTTAGTCATCTACAGCAAGAGAAGGCAGTAAGTGCCAATCTCCTCTGAAAGTCTGGGCTGAACTCCATAAGCTAATAATTAAAGCTATGCAAATTAAAATTCTGCTAACACAATTGTTAACATCTTCTAGAATGTGGTAATCATAATAAGCAAAGTTATTCAGTAATTTATGGGAAAAGTGAGATTTAATCCTTTAGGGCAGAGGGTTTCCATGATCTTACCACCAACAAGCTCACTAAATTATCTTCACAGTACATCTCTCTAAAACAGTAAGCAGCTCTTTGTTCTGCTAGCAGATTAAGAGAACACTAGAACAGCACAAAAATATGCCACCTGTAATTTGTCCTGCAGCTCCTTATTGTGCAATGTCAAAGAAGCAATTTTTGCTTGCATCAACAGAAGCAGATCTTGCTGGTCAGCTTCAGAACTCACATCCAATAAACTATCAGCACCTTTGGAGAAAAAAAATATTCAAAAGCTTTCAAAAAGCTGAAATACTAGCTAGCTAATTATTCTAACCTTTCAAATGAAACTGTTTGTTCCCATGACCATTAAGCGTAGTGAGCAAGCAAACTGTTCCTAGAAACTCTTGCCCCAAAAACGTGTTAGATCACTCAACAGAAAGTTTTAGTGGGGAGCTGCTAGTGAAACTACAGAACATTACTCCCAACACTTCCTGTGTCTCACATTCAAAGAGGAAAGGCACAGAGGATTTCTGACTAGATTTCAACATTTCACACCACCTAAAACACCTAATCAAATAAAAAAATAAGGATTAAGTGTTATTGCATACCTGTTGTGCTGTCACTCAGTCTGTCTTTATTATCTCGAAGCAAGGAGCTAAATTCTT